GCCCCAGGGGGCCCCCACCCCACAGGGCGTGGCTGTCTCCCTGGGCCTGCTGGGTGGGTGACCCTCCCGCCCTGACGTCGCTCAGCCTCACTGGGAAACACGACAAAAACAGAAATGCGTGAAGGAGACGAATCTCGGCTGTGGCGGAGACTACACGCCCAGCCCGCCCCATCCCCACTCCTCAGAGGCAAGCGCCTGCCCCCGCCTCTTGGTGCTCACTCACACCCAGGCCTGGCCATCGCCCCCTGGCCCTCCCAGCTTTGGGCTCGGGACTTCTGAGTCCTGGCCGTAATTCGACTTTCTGCTCTCTCCCTGAGTTTCTGCATTTCTGATCACGCTGTGTACTTGATCGTGGGTATTTCGCTCCCTGAAAGCAGTCACTTGTGTCACTAACCTAAAGGCTGGGTGCTCATCCTGGTGGCCAGAAGTAGGCGCTTGCCTTTGAGAAGTGGGGACCGGGCGGGTGAGCTTGTAACAAACCTCTTTATTACTGTTCTTAAAAGATTTACTTTTGGGGGCCCTCCCTGGTGGCGCAGCGGGTTACATCGCAGCACTGAGAAGCTTAAGCGGCTTCCGCATGAGTTCGGTCCCCGCCTGCCCTGGAGGTGACCACCTGGCCGGCAGACCTCTCCTGACCGCCCGCTGCTCCCTTCAGCAGTGGACTTCGTCCATCTGCCTGTTTGCTCCCCACTCTGTCTCTGGTGAACCCTCTCACTGCCCCTGCAACTCTGGCCTGTACCCCAGTTCTGTATGCATAAAATAAATCTAAGGTTTACTTTTGCATAGAAGAACTGGGGTACAGGCCACAGCTACAGGGTGGGGGGCGGTGTGAGAGGATTCCCCAGAGACAGAGTGGGGAGCAGAACAGGCAGATGGAGCAGCGGGGAGGCAGGAGAGGTCTGCTGCGCCCCGTGGGTCACTCTGGCCGGCCTGACTCGCGCTGCAGTGGCTGGCGTGTGTCATGTGCTGAGACTCCCCTGTGCCACCGTAGGCCCCGGTAATAAACCTCTTTAAACTACGTATAACTGTGATATTTATATGCATAGTTCAGATTTCTTCTTTCATCGGAGTGCTCTATTGTTAAAGTTTGTGCCTGGTTGGATTTTCTCTGAACAATTATTTCCAAATGACACCCTCACACCGCTCTTGTCGGCTACAACTTTGCAAAAGGCGTTAACGCTGGCAATGGGTGGTACCCAAATCTGAAGGAAAACGATGGCCCGTGACGGTTATAAAAGGTGACGGCAGGTTGGTTGGAGGAGTTTTCAGTGATTGGGACTGAGCAGGTTTTCACTCCTGTTTTGTTTTATTTATTAGCCAGTGTTGGTGATAGGCTCAGCTGGAGAATTTTCCTGGCCATTTTTACGAGCAGACTCAATGTGCTGTTGAGAGGTCTTTATGTGGGGCTACTAGGGTGACGTTGGTTTGCGACACACAGGACCCCCCTCAGGTGCTGCTACCAGCAAACTCACTTTTGCTTGTCCGGGTCTTCTCCCTCAGAAAGCTACGACGAATTTAAATTGAACATCCACAACCTTTTTCCTGTTCTCATCGACACCAAGAATGTGACGAAGGATGTCTGGAAGGTGATGAGTGGGACTGCTTCGGGGTAGTGAATTCTTTGTGCCATAAATGCCATAAATACTTAGTTGCTCTCTAATTGTTCCTTGAAATCATCTTTTTTTTTTTGCATAGGAACACTGGGGTGTAGGGCAGAGGTGCGGGGGTACAAGGACTCCCCAGAGACAGAGTGGGGAGCAGAACGGGCAGTTCCACTGAAACCCACTGCGGAGGGGAGCAGCGGGGAGACAGGAGGGGCCTGCTGGGCCCTGGGGGTCCCTCCCTGGTGGGGGATTGAACTCAGGTCTCCTTGGTGACAGCGCTGAGCCTTACCTGCGAAGCCACGGGGCGGGGGGGGTGGGGCTAGTTCTCGTGCACAACGCTTTGCTTCCTTTCGTATTTCAGCACCACTGCGTCATCACGTTAGTTCACAGGTGCCCTTTGTGTTTTCCTCTTCAAGTTTCCAGGTTTTGACTACTTGTTTGTATATACCTGGGAGGTGAACTTAGATGGGGCAGTGGGGAAGTTTGTTCTAGAACTCGATACATCCCCCTCTGTCGTTACCGAGACCCAAGGCACAGGGTTTCAGCCCCACCAGCCCCAGGTCTTGCATGAGCAGACCCGTGTGGACGCTTGGGCAAAGTCGGCCTCGCAGTTTAGGGGCGCAGGGGCATTTCCAAGACGCCCTAGTGGCTTCCCTTGAGTTGTACACACCCCATAGGGAAGGGACCCAGACTGAGATGCCCGAAGGGGAGGAGAAGGACTAGGCCCTCCTGGTGGCCTAGAGGGTCGGGCCAGGCTGTGCTTGTGGTTTTCTCTAGCCAGGGTATTGGGCCCTGTTGGAAGCCCGAGGGCCAGGGCGCGTGGTCAGCGAGGAACAGGAGATGGTGTCTGAAGAGGGGGCGGTGGCAGTTGCTTTGATGGCGCTTGGCGATCGCCAGAACAGGCTGCAAACAGACGCCGCGGGGCTTTACCCACCCGCTTTGTTTCCGTGACACAGGACCTGAACTTCCCCAGGGTCTCCAGCCTCACGGAAGTCTATGAAGTCCTGAACAGGTAAGGGGGGGCGGACGGAGGCTCTCGGCTGGGTGCTGTGCGCCCTGGGCCTAGCGGGGACAGCCCAGGGGCCCGGTGAGGCCCCATCACCTCTGGGGGCCTGCTCAGGGCGAGGGGCTGGTGAAGGGCCTCTCCGTCAGTCAGCAGCTTTCCCCGGCTCAGTGTCAAACAGGACTCCTCTTCCTCCCTAGAGGGGCGCGCTGGTGAGCCGGGGCACCAGAGCCCAACAGCTACACCGTGGGCCCTTCCCAACAGAGCTCGTTGTCGTGTTGGGGTGCCTGGGCGCTGCCCGGCCCGCTCTCCACTGCCTGCCACCTCCCTCCTGCTCCATGGTCTCTGAGGTGGCCCTCCTGGTCCTCATCCCAGGAGAAAATGTGAGGCTAAAGCTGTGTCTCAGCTCCCTGCAGATACTGTCACCTGTCACTCCTGTGCCACCCGCCCGGCCTCGGGCTCTCTTCCCTCTGCAGCAGCCTTCATCGGCCTCCCCTGGGACCGGCCTCCGCTGGGCGCCCAGCGTGGCCACTGTCCTCTCTGCAGCAGGCCTCTCGGGGCTATGACTGTCCCTCAGCCCACTGAGCTCGGGCTCCTTCCTTGCAACGCCTGCTCAGTCCCGTGCCCAGGCAGAGTCCTCAGGCCCTTGGCTGCGGGGGCAGTGCCCAGAGGCACTGGTGTCTCGCAGCTGATGACCGGTCAGGCGTCGGACACCCTGGGCCCCCTCGTGCCTTCTGGGGTCTCTGCTCTTGGGTTTCTCTTCTGGACAGGGTTTTCCCCATTCGTTTCTTGCAGCCCCTCGTTCTTCCACTCATCCCTTAAATTCCTTTCGGCCGTCTCCCTCATTCCGCTTCCTGCTCACGAGGTCCTGGTGGACGGGCCCCGTGTCTGAGGCAGGACTTGGCGCCCTGGCCGTCCACTGGACGGCCCCACCGCGCGGGCCCATCAGCTGGGCGTCCTCTCGGCCCTCCTGCCCCTGAGCCTGCTGCGGCCCTCGCCTTGGGCCTGGAGAGCCGAGCCCCGGCCCGGACTCTGCCCTCTGGGCTTCAGCCTGGAGTTAGCTGCTCAGTCTCTCTGCAGGCACCTGGGGAGAAGCCCTGGCTGGGCCGCGCCTCCGCTTGTGCATGTTCCTCGGGTGCGGGGGGGCCCGGCCGGCCCACGGCGGGGTGGGGGGGTGGGGGAGACTCTGGAGTGTCTGTCAGCTGCTCTGTGCCCTGCCTTGCTGGCCCTGCCTTGGGGCACGGGACACGCCCGGCCGCGCCTGAGGAGCCTCTGTTGCCGTCAGAGGGCGGCGCCGTTTGCCCAGCGCTGGCCCCGTGCCCTGGTCCCCCGCCCCCGCCCTGTGGTCTTCTAAAGCATGAACCTGACTGGCTCATTGTTCTGCTTAGACCCCCGGGGCTCCGACCCCCACCCCCACCCCAAGCAGTGTGCTCCCCACCTCCAGGGCCTGCTCTCCCAAGTGTCTTTCACCCCTGGGCATCTCCCTTCAGCAGGGCTTGCTGCTGCAGGGCTTGTTCCAGGCTGCAGGGACCTGGACCTCCGTGTCCTCTGTCCCCGGTGTGGGGGTGCGGATGGACTGACCCCCATGTCCTCTGTCCCCGGTGTTGGGGTGCGGGCGGTCCAGGCTGCCGTGTCCTCTGTCCCCGGTGTTGGGGTGCGGGTGGCCTGGACTGCCGTGTCCTTTGTCCCCGGTGGGGGGGGTGGGTCTGGGAGCAGCCTGAGGGGCGCCGGGCCCTGTCCTGTCCGCCTGTGCCCTGCCCAGTGGCCCAGCCCTGGCCGCCGCCCCTGGAGCTGGGCTTGCAGAGGAGGTTTCTGTGGCCGAGGCCAGGGGAGGGCAGCAGAGGTGGTTTTGGCCCCTGGGCTCCAGCCCATCTTTCTTCTCCAACAGCAACTTGAATCCCACCAAGAACTCTGGGCCGGAGATCATCCACGCCAGCAAGTGCGAGAAGTATGGTGGGTGCCTGGGCACTCCCCAGGGGCAGAATGCAGGGTGGAGAGCCTGTGTTGGTCCCCCTTCAGCCGGTTGGGAAGGTCTGGGGCTCTCCCTCCTTTGAGGAACCCCCAAGGTGCTGGAGGTCCTGGGTGGGTGTCTGCGGTGCTCCCAGGGGGCTCTGTCAGGAGGCTCCCAGGGAACCCCTGCTGCTGGGGGGCACCCAGGTGGGGCGGCTCTGTTGTGCCATGCCACTGGGGCGGGAGCCATGTGGCAGGAGCCGGGGAGACCCTTCCCAGCCAGGCCCTCATGGCAGTTTGCCCTCTCCTGCTTCCGGGACGACTCAGTGGAGACGAAGTACCCCCACGAGGCAGCCTACGACGCCTTCCTGTGCGGATCCGGTGAGGCTGGGGCCTGTGCGCAGGGCGGGGCTTCCTCGGGGTGGGACTGAGCGGCGGCTGTGAGTAGACACCAGCTGGCGCTGTCTCAGCCGCCCCCTGGCTTCCCCGCAGTTCTCCTGAAGGTGGCGCACTTGCTGCTGAGCGGGGTGCACAGGTGAGTGCCCCCCCCCCCCCCCGGCCAGGGCCTGCCAGCGAGGGGGCTGTCTGGCCAGGGGCAGGGGCTGCCCCGCTGTCCACCACTGGGAGCTGGGGGCAGTGTGTTCAGGCCCCACGGCCTGGCTGGGGAGCAGGGGGGTGCCTGGAATAGGGGCGCGCCTCACAATGCCCAGGTCCCCTTTCCCAGGGCAGCCTCAGCCTCGACGCCCACAGTGCAGGGTTCGTGGCTCCAACCCCGTGCGTTCCCGGGCAGCGGCCTGAGTGACCTTTGTGACAGGTCCGGCAGGCCGGTCCCCTGGGGCGACTTGGAAGCACATTGGACCGTGATCTTTCAGCCGGGCACTGCCTGCCTGTCTGCCTCAGCACCGGCCCCCTCGGACACATCAGCGGGGCCTGGGTGCCCGATGGCCGGGACCACCTCTGGTCCTCGGCAGCTGAGAGCCCTCCCCGGCTTGGGGGAGCTGCCCGAACCCGCCCGCCTGGGGCCTGTGTCCGCATGGAGCTGGGGCTGAGCCAGGAGGCCCGGCCTCTTGGAACCAAGCCCCCCGCCCCCACAGTGGCTCTTGGGGCCTCTGGGCCTGTGCTGCGTGTCGGCGAGGAGGCGTCACCCCGCGGCCACTCACAGGCAACCGCCTGGCAGCGGAGCCTCGGCTGGGCCACTGAGCAGCCGGGGGAGCACACCGATGTGGACCCCGCAGGCCAGACGGGTGGGAGGGGGTTGTCGAGGCACCACGCCCCTGTTCCCCAAGAACCTCACCCCGGCGAGGTCAGGCCGCGGGGTGCCGACACCTTGGGGTCTCTCCGTCCTGCAGCTCCGTGTCCATCCCCGAGCTCTCCTTCCCTCTGTACCTCAGCGTGCTGGCGCCCTACGTGAACCAGGTGAATCTGATCCGAGCCGGGGTCCCCAAGATCGTGAGTAGCCTTCCTTTGCCCCTCTCCGGGTCAGAGGCGGGCTGGCTGCGAGGGGCTTCTGCTGGGGGTGCCCGCGCCGCCCACCGAGCAGCTTTCTGGCGTTTTCCTTTGCAAAACCGGCCTGGACACCCCCCTTCCCTCGAGCCCCGTCCTCGGGACCTCCGCCCGGGCGACTGTCGCAGCAGCCCGGCCAGTGTCCGCTCGCCCCCCGTCTCTAGAACTTCTCCGGCCCGGACTCCCCCAGCACCCGGCCCCCCGTCCTCATCCTCAGCGTCAGGCGGTGGCCGGGCGTCAGCGAGCAGCTGGTCTACCGCGAGTTCCAGAACCTCTGCAAGTTCGACGTCAGGAGGCTGACGCGGAGCCAGTTCCTGCTGCTGACCAACAAGTTCAAGGAGTAGGTGCCGCCCGGGCCGCTGCCCCCCGCCCCGGCCCGGCCGCCGGGCGCGCCTCACCCCGGCCTTGCCTTGCAGCGCCCGGAGCGCGCTGCGGGAGTACCGGCGCCACCCCACCCTGCGCCTGTGCCCGTTCCGCTACTGGCAGCACTGCCCCAACGTCAGCTGCCTGCTGCAGTGAGTGCCCGCGCCCAGGGCGCCCTGCCCGCCGGGGGGCGGCCGCCTCGGACTGCGGGTGCCCGCCTCGGACTGCGGGTGCCCGCCTCGGACTGCGGGTGCCCGCGGGCCCAGCCCAGGGGTCCGGCAGGACGCGCTCGCGCGCTCGGGGCGGAGGCTGGCGGGGCAGACGCGGCGCCCACCCGTGTCTGGCAATGGGTGTTTGCTGGGGTCGCGGGGGGCCCGGGGCGGGGGGAGGTGCCGGGTCAGGGAGATGGGGCCCTTGCTGAAGACCCCAAGGAGAGGGAGGGGAGCGAGGGTCCAGGCGGAGGGCAGCAGGGCCCTGGTGTGGCGAGGGGCAGGAGTGGGCGGGGGCCACAGGGCCGTGGAGGACTCTGGGGTGCTGGGGTTCAGCAGAAGAGGAGTACCTGTCGGGACAGGTTGGGGGGCGGGCGCCGGGGCCACACACCGCGGCGGCGCCCTGGACGCCCCGACAGTCAGCTGGCCTGCGTCCCTGGAGGGGGGCAGAGTCGCGGCCAGCGGCCGGCGTGGGGGAGCCCTGGCCTGAGCGGCCGGTCCTGGCCCCGGGAAGGCTGGCAGGACTCTCGGGCGAGCTCGGGAAGGCGGGCAGCCCATGCGTCAGGCGGCGCCTCGGACCCGTCTCCCCGGAGCCCGCCTGGCCTGAGCCGCGCCGTGTCCCTGTCTTGCAGAGTCTGCGGCGTGGTCACCACCTGGGCCCTTGTCACCTTTCTGCTGGGACGACCGCGGCCCTGACGGTGTGCCCGGCTGCCCTCTGCCCGCTGCCCTGCAGGCTCCTGGCCCGGCTGCGTGGGCGCACCCGCTGCAGACGGGCCTGCGTGGGCCTCCCAAGGAGCGTCATGTTGTTTTGACAGTGAAATTGTCAGTGCTGTCACCATAAAGAAGTCTCTGGAGGAGGCGCTTTTGTGTGTGCACGGAGCTTCCTTTGCTGAATGACCGGGGAGAAGGCGCTGGCCGGAGCCTCACAGGAGGCTGGGTGGGTGAGCGGGCGGGAGGCCCCAGGGTGCGCCGCTGGCCTCTGTCGGGAGAACTGAGGCCATGGCGGGCCTGTCTGGCCGGCCGCCTTCGCAAGGACGGCTGGGCGGGGCCGGGGCCAGGGGGAAGCCGCCTGGGCGGGGACGGGCCTCTGTGAGGGTCTAAGAGCCGGGGGTCAGGGGTGCTCAGGTTTGGCCTAGAAGCTAGAAGAGAGCGGGGTTGCTGGGCCATGGTGGTGATTGTTCGTTCTGGGGCGTGAGCGGAGGGGATGACCTTCACCATGGCCAGGGTTCTCGCACTTGACGGGCGCCTGGCGGGTGCGGGCGCCCACGCCCAGAGTGTCCAGGCTGCCGGGCCCTGCCGCCTCCCCCACCCAGTGCCTCCTGGCTGACGCCGCTGCTGCCCGCACGGAGACTCGGCGGGCTGTGTGGTCCCAGGAAGGATGTGGGGCTGGGGGGGCTTCCACGGGCGGAAACTGAGGCCCAAGGCCAGCCGGGGAGCGAAAGCCTCCACCCTCAGCCCTGGCTGCCTGCCAGAGGCGCCTGGGTCTGGGTAGCTGAGATGGGAGGCCCCGCTGGGGCTTCACTTCCTTGTGGGGCAGAGACACGCTGGCTCTGCGTGGTCCCTCTCGGGCCTACACGGGTCACAGGCGCCTGCTGCTTTGGGTCTGGAAGTGGCCAAGCCCCTGAGCTCGGCCGAGCCAGGCAGAGGGCCTGTGGGCTTTGCGTCCACCAGGTGCCCAGCCAGAAGTGTGGGTGTGGTCCGCCGGGACTGGGCCACATGCTTCTCCCCCAGCTGCACGCCAGGGGGCTGCACCCTCTCTGGAGGAAGGGATGGCCGGACTCGGGGGAGGCCGTGACCCAGACTTTCCCAGCTGTGAAAGCACCCCCTCCCCGGGACTGCTTGGGCCCGAGGCCAGAACTGAGCATCTCGAGCTGTGAGGACGGCCCCAGGCATACCCCGGAGGGCCCTGGCCAGGAATGCCCAGTATCCCCTTGTGCCTTAGTAAAACGGTGCCAGATGGTCACTCTTGAATCACACCCTGCAGTGGTTTCAGACATGTGATTAATGTCGGGGTGCAGAAGTCATCCTGTGCCTCTGTGGGTTCCCCTCTGGCTGGGTGAGTAATCAGCATCAGATGGGTCAGCAAAGGAAAAGTCAACTTAATAACATACATATGGAGACTTACGAGGTGGGAAGTGCTGGGGCTAGTGGAGAGGCCCAGGGTGTTTCTCCTGCATTTCGGGACGGGAGGCGGCTGGAGGCGGGCAGAGACTCGGTCCTGACGGAGAGTAGAGATGAGACACTGGCGAACTGGGCCCGGAGACACCCTGGGGCCGGCCGACGGCGCGGGCAGGGTCACGCCCATTCCAGCAAACACAATCTTGGAGCCTTTGGCCAGTCTGACTGGTCTCTAGCCCTGACGCGGGCACTTACAGGTGGGGGCGCCCCGCGCTCCCTGGCTTCTTGGCCCAGAGATTTGGTCCGAAGTCACAGGTGCGTGTGCCCTGTGCCATGCTCGGTGGCCCCGGGGGCTCCGCGGCTGCCCGTGCTCTGCGCCCGGGCACCTCTTGCGCCTCACGTGTCCCTGGTGGCCGTGAAACCTGCGAGGGGCCGGAGGGGCTGGTGCCGGAGTGGAAAGAGCCAGAGCGAGTCCGTCTTCCCTGCAGAGCCCTAAGCGCTGTTTCCTCCCCTTGCTTGGCTGGGAAAGGACTCAGGCAAGTCCTTCTCCTGACTCCAGGCCCTCACTGCTCTCAGCAGCTCCCGAACGATCTGTGTTAAGTTCCCTGGTAACAGACCACCCCCGCTCACAGCCCTGAGTGACCAGTTCCCGCCCACGGTGACAGCCGACGGTGGCATGTAGAGAAGAGCCACGTGATCCGAGCCACGTGACCCTTTCAGGGAGACCGACTGAGGCGAGCAGGCAGGCGTCTCCCAGCCCCCCACGAACCTTCACACCCTCCCAGGGCTCCCCCCATCTCGTGGTCTCGCCGCTCACCCTCACTGCTGCCTCACACACTCACACACGCCCACGCCCTGCTCCAGCGGTCCAGTCAGGCGCCCGCGCCCTGCGCCCACACACGGTCCTTCTGCATCACACGGTCAAGGCCGCAGGTGAGCGCCGCAGTGGCCAGCGGCGGGAAGAGCCTGACCTCATACCTTGCTGCGGCCAGTCTGCCGGGCAGTGTTCCTTGAACGCTCCTGCCCCGGGGCCTTTAACTCTCCTGGAGCCAGACTGCGCTACAAAAAGCCAAGCCCTTCGCTGGTGTTTGTGAAGAAAATACAAGCGCCTGTCCCTCAGGCCGGCCTTTCAAGGCCCCACAGCGCAGGGGCACGCACTCGGCTGTCTGCCGTGGCCCTGCCCCCCGTGGCTCAGGCCTGGCTCAGGGCAGGTCCGCCCCACGGCTGTCCCCGTTACTAGAGCAGTTGGACAGTGTGAGAGCCCAGTCACGCTGAATCAAGTTGGATTAGGAAAGAGAAATTAGTAGTTAACCCCCAGTAGGTCACCGTTCAGTACATGTTCACGTTAGAGCTATAAAGCAGAATTTGTGGGCGTCGAATCCGTGGAGAGTATTTCCTCTCTGAAAAATATCGCTCGCTCACACACAAAAAGCATGTAACAGGTTCCTTTAAGAGTCTCCGTCACGGAACAGCTGCGTGGGGAGATGGTTTCGGATCCTGTCACCTGTCCCTGATGGAGATTCGCCGATTTCATTAGAGAACAAAATCATTGAGCATACAGCACATCTGGCCTTTGAGCCAAGAAGTGAGCCCAGCTGGGGCCGCTCACGAGCCCCGCGGGAGTTGTCGCGTCGTGGAAGTACACCGCGCACTTCAGATCAGGAAGGTGAACCCCGCTTGGTCACTGGCTAAGTCCGTGCCAAAAATGGAGGGACCCGCTCGGAGGGAGGCCGGCCCACGCCGCGCATCTCGCTACACCCACGTATTCAAGCTGCAGGTCTCCAGCCACTGCCTGGACAGCATGCTGAGGTGGCCGGCGTTGGGGACCCCAGGGAAGTGAGACGGCCACTCTGGGTTTGGGGAGGAAGAACGGCGGGGCGGCCGGCTCCCCACCTGAGGACACGGGCCCTAGGTGGCCTCTTCGCCTTCTGCGGCGCCACGGTCAACGCATCCACCCCCCCGGGGCCAAAGTCATGATGTTTATGGGGGGCTTACATTTTTAAGTCAGGGAGCACACGCTCAGATGCGCCCCAAATTACTTAGGGGTCTTTCAAAGCACAGACATAGCAGGAAGACAACAGGGCTGTGCAAGCTGTTACCGCGGACCGGGCTGGCTCTAGAACATTCCTCACAGGTCGCCGACGTTTCATCAGGCGGCCTTGGTAATATGGGGACGGACAGGAAGAGACCTTTGCTGGGTTTTGAGAGCGCCTGTGTCCAGGGGGAACCATTCTTGCTGGTAATTTATTATCTTAACATTAGCGTTGCAGCATCACCCGGGAAGTTGCAGGTGGATGTCGCTGGAAGCGCTGTCACCTCAGTGCACCTCAGTGCACCCCAGTCCACCCCGGTCGTGGCCTTCACCGCAGAGTGCCCTTGACCCAACTGACCCGTCCTCCCCACTTCCCTCGGGTAACCTACGCTCACTGTCTTGTTTTTCACAAGTTCAAAGTTGCCTGTGGGGGCCAGGCTGGCCTGCGCGCACACCCTGAAGCAGCAGAGGTGGGGGCCGGATACGACACGGGTTATTAGTAAAGGGGGTTGGGAGGAAGCAGGGTGATTCCAGGGCCCAGGTGGCTGGCGGCGTTTTCCCAGGGAGTGTCCACAAGTGGCCCAGGAGTCCCAACCCCAAGTGTTCAGGATGGCGCCCATGGGAGCCTGTGGCCGGCGGCCTCTGGTCAGTGGTGGGTGGGGCCCAGCTAAGCGAGGAGGCTGGGGGCCAGAGGACTGCTGAGACAACCCCACAGAGTGTCTCCTGGAAGTGGCGTCGGCCCCCCTGAAACTTCCCCCAAGGGGAGCCCGGCCCCTCAGGCCAAGGCCAAAGCCGTCCCAAGCAGCCTCCAGCCCCTCCCAAGCCTGGGCTCTCCTGGCCGGGTGACCCGCCCGCCTCGCCCGAGGGGCCCATTTCCCGAAGTAGCTGTTTCCCAGCCTGAGGGTGCCGTACAGGCTTGAACCTAATTGTGCCAGCGGGAGCTCTGACCGACCTGGACTCAAGACCCAACCTGGTGGCGTGTCCACTCCGGCCCGCACGCCTGCCCGGCGACCAGCCAGGAGAGCCAAGCTGCCTCTGAGCGGCGCTGGCCGGGCTCAGGCCTGACCCACGTCAGGCCTGAAGATGTGTCTTGAAGCAGCCTGGGCTAAAGTTCCTGAGCGGGTAGGGTTGTGCCAAGGTTAATTTTGTGTCCCTGATAATTAGGAAAGTTGAAGAGCAAGAAGCAGCTATTGTTTTGCCAACTTTTCTGCGAGTCTAAAATTATTTCAAAGTGCAAAGACTTCTTCAACTGGCTCAGCTCTCCTGACCGTGGGCACCGCCGCCCGTCACCCTGCTGGGGCAGGGCTGAGACGTCTGCCAGGACGAGGCGCCCCCTGCCACACCTCAGGTGCTCGGGAAGGGCACGCAAGCAAGCAGGACTGGACAGAAACCTGGAAGTCCTGCAGCCGCGGGCCGGGCCCAGGGCTAGTGGTTGCGGCTGAGGCCAGGACCTGCAGCCTCCAGGCAGCGGTGTCTTCTCTGGCTTGTGGCACCGGCGGCTGCTTTGTCCTCGGCAATGTGGAGACAAGAAAGGTGCTTTCGAGGC